AGGTGTATATTTGTATACACATACACACACAATAGATGATACAAATAATATTTCACATTTGTATTTAAGAGAAAATTCAATCTTTCAAATAATTTTCCCAGGTGTTATAGTATTTGATTGCTATTGCTACAAACTTAGAGACATATAAACAACACAGTGATTTCCCAGGAAACTAGGAAAGTGACAGATTGAAATTCTCTTCTGAGATAAGATTCTACAGAAACCTTACCTACATTCCATCCCTAATGGGCCATAAGTCTGCACCATCTAGATTCCCCTTACCATACCCCAGCCAGATCAACACAGCCCTCAGAGTTAATGTCTATCCTGAAGTTAAACCTCTTCATCAGAAATAAGTCTGATATGAGAATGAAGTGGAGTGAAGATTGGCATACTCACCTAAGATATGGTTCAAAATTTCATTATTGCCCTTGTGCTGAATAGATATTGGCCTAAATATTCACAACTTCCTTGTCAACTTTCAAAGCTTAAGCATTTCCTCTGGCATTTTTTAAAAATAATGGAATGCAATTTGAAGAATTCGGTATTCTCAGATATGAGTTAATTTGCTTTGTTTTTAAAATAGAGCTCTGCATAATAGACTAAAGAAGTTTCTAGATTTCTGGGATGAGAGGATATAAGATGTACAGTTACCTTCATATACAGGGTGCATTTGTTAAATAGATGAAGTTTCTTTGTGCCATGCACAGTTTTAGTCACTGAGGATGCAAAGATAAGACATTCTCTATTCTGGAGCCCCTTAAGACAGGTGAGAAAACAGATGTGTGAGCACATCTTGATGATGCATTGTTGTCAACTCTCATGAAAGGGGCACAAAAGAAAAGGGAAGGGAAGCAGGAAGAAGGTTTATCCTCTATAAGAGGGACGTGAAAGAGGTGACTATTGACACAAGGAAGGAATACAGAGAAAACGGAAACCCCCTTGGAAGAATGTGCAATTTTATCTAGTTGCTTTGTTTTCAAAAGAGATAAAATTCCTGAATGACTTCAAATGAACGCTATTTTATAACATGATACTGGAAGCAAGTGCCCTTCTGTTAGCTGCTCTTATTGACTAAGTCCTGGACAGGGCAGATGCTGACAAGTGTCCCCTAGACACCTGCTACCAGCTGGTGCATCCTCGGACCACACTCACTGGATTGCTAGTAACTCTTCACAACCAACTTTTCCTCTGGAGAACTCCCTTGAGCTAAAGGAAGGAAGCAATTGAAACACAGGCAGGAAAGTGGGTATAAAAGGTGGGGCTTTCTTGTCAGTACAATTTGTGCCCCAGAACTCCCCATGGGAACAGACTGAGGTGTCTCCAGTTAAAAGCATCTTTCTGCTTAGAATTTTTACTCCAATTCTTCTACTCCCCTCCTCCGAAGAGTACTTATCCAATAAATCACTTCAATAAGAATTTTCATCCCAAGCTTTGCCTCAAAGGCATTTCAGTGAAACCACAAACATAATATATTAGTCAGGATGTGTAATAGTTAACCTATATCCATTCAACACTCGATTCCTTCATATCTATACTTTGTATACTTCTGTTGTAAAATAATATGTCATGTTACCAACTTCACCATAGACACACTACAATTTTCTTATTTTTCTATTTCTTTTAAAAACTACCATTGTTACTCCAATTTTACTAAATAACATTCTTTTTTTCTCTCTCTAATAGTATCAGTGCCTTTCTTCCATTTGTAGGCTACCTCATCTGTAGCCTTAGCTCTTTGAACCTTTTTTGAATTTTTTTAAAAAAATTGTGACATCGTAAAAAGGAAAAACACATATCTTGTTTCTCTTTACTCTTTTATTTTTGCAGCTGCTTCTAATAATAGTATCCATCATGTAAGATGGAAAATGTTACATTTCTTGAACTAATTGAAATAAATGTAAATCTAAAGTAATAGGAATATTATAGTCACTGCTGCATTCATAATGTAGCAAGAAAAAATCAGTATTTAGTTCGTCATAACCCTAGTAAAATGATTCACATTTTCTGAATAAATTTTATTGGCCGCTACTATCATTAATCATCCCTAAAGTTTTTAGTGAAATAACTATAAGATAATTATTAAATATTTCCCTCTCTGTCTTTAAACATTTAAAGAATTGGAATATGACATTGATATGGTTTGGCTGTGTCCCCACCCAAATCTCACCTTGAATTGTAGTTGTCATAATTCCCACATGTCATGGGAGAAACTGTTGAGAGGTAACTGAACCGTGGGGGCAGTTACCCTCATGCTGTTCTTATGATAGTGAGTTAGTTCTCATGAGACCTGATGGTTTCAGAGGGCACTTTTCCTGCACTTTGCTTATCCTTCTCCTTCCTTCTGCCATGTGAAGAAGGATGTGTTTGCTTCCCCTTCTGCCATGATTTTAAGTTTCCTGAGACCTCTCCAGCCCTGCTGAACTATGAGTCAACTAAACCTCCTTCCTTTATAAATTACCCAGTCTCAGGTTTGTCTTTATTAGTAGTGTGGGAAGGGACTAATACAGAAATTTTAACAGATCATAAACAAAAAACAAAGACTCTGAGGACAAAATTTTAATTATACACATTTGGAGTTAAATTTTTATTATTGGTTCCTAGAGTATAAGATATCAACTACTGAGTACCTGAAATTTTTCATAATGATGTGTTTTAGAATTCTACAAATAATATAGTTTCATAATGATTGAGAACTTTTGTCTTTACATCAAAACAACAAAAGAGTTAAACTAAACTGCAAACTGAAATAATATGTCTTAAAAATAACATGCTTTTTCCAGCTATTTATGACAAACCAACAGCCAATATCATACTGAATGGGCAAAAACTGGAAGCATTCCCTTTGAAATCTGGCACTAGACAAGGATGCCCTCTTTCACCACTCCTATTCAATATAGTACTGGAAGTTCTAGCCAGAGCAATCAGGCAAGAAAAAGAAATAAAGGGTATTCAAATAGGAAAGGTGGAAGCCAAATTGTCTCTATTTGCAGACGACATGATAGTATACCTAGAAGACCCCATCGCCTCAGCCCAAAAACTCCTGAAACTGATAAGCAACTTCAGCAAAGTCTCAGGATATAAAATCAATGTGCAAAAATCACAAGCATTTGTCTACACCAATAACAGACTTAAAGAAAGCCAAATCAAGAACGAACTGCCATTCACAATTGCTACAAAAAGAATAAAATACCTTGGAATACAACTCACAAGGAACGTAAGGGACCTCTTCAAGGAGAACTACAAACCACTGCTCAACGAAATCAGAGAGGACACAAACAGATGGAGAAACATTCCATGTTCATGGTTAGGAAGAATTAATATCGTGAAAATGGCTATACTGCCCAAAGTAATTTACAGAATCAATGCTATACCCATCAAGCTACCATTGACTTTCTTCACAGAACTGGAGAAAACAACCACGAACTTCATATGGAACCAAAAGAGAGCCCGCATAGCCAAGTCAATTCTAAGCAAAAAGAACACAGCGGGGGGCATCACACTACCGGATTTCAAACTATACTACAAGGCTACAGTAATCAAAACAGAATGGTACTGGTACCAAAACAGAGATACAGACCAATGGAACAAAACAGAGGCACTGGAAGCAACACAACATATCTACAACTATACAATCTTTGATAAACCTGACAAAAACAAGCAATGGGGCAAGGATTCCCTGTTTAACAAATGGTGTTGGGAAAACTGGCTAGCCATGTGCAGAAAGCAGAAACTGGACCCCTTCCTGACACCTCACACTAAAATTAACTCCAGATGGATTAAAGACTTAAATATAAGACCTGGCACGATAAAAACCCTAGAAGGAAATCTAGGCAAAACTATCCAGGACATAGGAGTAGGCAAGGACTTCGTGAACAAAACACCAAAAGCATTGGCAACAAAAGCCAAAATAGACAAATGGGACCTAATGAAACTCCACAGCTTCTGCACGGCAAAAGAAACAGTCACTAGAGTGGATCGGCAACCAACAGAATGGGAAAAAATTTTTGCAGTTTACCCATCTGACAAAGGGCTGATATCCAGAATTTACAAAGAACTCAAACGGATTTACAGGAAAAAAACAAACAAGCCCATTCAAAAGTGGGCAAAGGATATGAACAGACACTTTACGAAAGAAGACATATATGAGGCCAACAATCATATGAAAAAATGTTCATCGTCACTGGTCATTAGAGAGATGCAAATCAAAACCACATTGAGATACCATCTCACGCCAGTTAGAATAGTGATCATTAAAAAATCTGGAGACAACAGATGCTGGAGAGGATGTGGAGAAAAAGGAACACTTTTACACTGTTGGTGGGAGTGTAAATTAGTTCAACCAATGTGGAAGACAGTGTGGTGATTCCTCAAGGCCTTAGAAATAGAAATTCCATTTGACCCTGCAATCACATTACTGGGTATATATCCAAAAGACTATAAATCGTTCTAATATAAGGACACATGTACACGAATGTTCATTGCAGCACTGTTTACAATAGCAAAGACCTGGAATCAACCCAAATGCCCATTGATAATAGACTGGATTGGGAAAATGTGGCACATATACACCATGGAATATTATGCAGCAATCAGAAATGATGAGTTTGTGTCGTTTGTAGGGACATGGATGAATCTGGAGAACATCATCCTCAGCAAACTGACACAAGAACAGAAAATGAAACACCGCATATTCTCACTCATAGGCGGGTGATGAAAAATGAGAACACATGGACACAGAAAGGGGAGTACTAAACACTGGGGTCTATTGGGGGGAAAAGGCGAGGGCCAGTGGGAGGGGGAGGTGGGGAGGGATAGCCTGGGGAGAAATACCAAATGTGGGTGAAAGGGAAAAGGAAAGCAAAGCACACAGCCATGTGTGTACCTACGCAACTGTCTTGCATGCTCTGCTTATGTACCCCAAAACCTAAAATCCAATAAAAAATTAAAAAAAAAAAATAAAAATAACATGCTTTTTCCACCAGTATTGTGTCTCTTACCTGAAGTCAGAACCTGCTCTTCTACCATTTTCTGGAATCCCAGGATCTGGACACATGTCAGAGACCAGTGCAACACCTCCTTGGCTCACTGTAACAGCAAGAAATACTGTTAAAATATTGTGCAGTTACTGAGGAAATACACAGATAAAAAATGTATTGTAGGTATTTTTAGTTATTCAGTGATCGTGACTAAAGATGTGATCTCCAAAGGAATTAAGACACCTTAAATACATTCAAATAAATGCGCATTCTCATTGGTGAGAATCAAAGACGTCTTTTCCAGTGTAAGGATGAACATCTCTCTCACTGTTAAGAGGCCAAAATTTAATAAAAAATCTCACTTGTTCCTTATTAGTACTTTTATGCCAGGTCACAACTAACAGCATGATGAGAAAAATACATACATTTAGAGAGAAGAAAGCCTTCACTCATTCCCGTAGATAACAACAGAGATGATATTTACTAAGATCTATACATAAGATACTTTTAAAAATTACTTATATTTTAAACAATGAAGTAATTATCAATGAACCAAAAACCATAGTGGTTTCTTTGTTCATGTGCATTTATTTATTTCTGGAATTTCATAAAGACATTTTTCTCCTGTTGGGACTTGCACCATCACAGAATAGTTTCTCCAAAACTCAGTTGCTCATTGGACAGAGTGGCTGTCGCTTCAGCGTTCATTTCACTCTCTACAATTTGTCTAATCAAATGAAGGCATTTCTTTTTTTCTCTTCACAGGAGGTTGCTTAACAGAGGGCTTGGGACCCAATTCAGTGTAATGAGATGTGAGGAAGTCCACAGGAGTGCTTCTGGGAAACATTACAGTATGCTAATAAATGACATATCTATTTTACTCTGAAAATTTATGTGTCCAGATTTCAAATGTTAGAATCCAAGGATGGAGACAACAGCATGCATGGAACAGAATAGATGTGTCAAGTACCTGGACCTGCTACCTTATTGTAGGGGCAGAAAATCAACCAATCTAGGAGGAATACCCCAATTCTGAACATTCTGTTGTATTTATTATAGTTCGTTTACTACAGTTTAAATCAACTGAATTGGTGATTCTATTATTTGCAGCTGAAAAGTGTACATATAAATACACATTTTCTCACATATATTTTAAATGATTCCATAAGAAAAAACAGTATAACACTTTCACACTGTTGGTGGGAGTGCAAATTAGTTCAACCATTGTGGAAAACAATGTGGCGATTCCTCAAGGACCTAGGAATAGAAATTCCATTTGACCCAGCAATCCCATTACTGGGTATATATCCAGAGGATTACAAATCATTCTATTATAAAGACACATGCACACATATGTTCATTGTGTCACTGTTTACAGTAGCAAAAACTTGGAACCAACCCAAATGTCCGTCGACGATAGACTGGACTAGGAAAATGTGGCACATATACACCATGGAATACTATGCAGCCATAAAAAACGATGAGTTCGTGTCCTTTGTAAAGACATGGATGAATTTGGAAACCATAATTCTCAGGAAACTGACACAAGAACAGAAAATAAAACACTGCATGTTCTCACTCATAGGTGGGTGTGGAACAGCAAGAACACATGGACACAGGGAGGGGAGCATCACACACTGCGGTCTATTGGTGGGGACTAGGGGAGGGATAGCAGGGGATAGGGAGGTTGGGGAGGGATAACATGGGGAGAAATGCCAGATACAGGTGATGGGGGGAAGGAGGCAGCAAACCACATTGCCATGTATGTACCTGTGCAACAATCCTGCATGATCTGTACATGTACCCCAGAACCTAAAGTACAATTAAGAAAAAAATATATATATATGTATGTATGTATGTATATATATGTATGTATGTATATATATGTATGTATGTATACAATAAAAAAACAATATGTTAAGGTATATGTGGAACTCGTGAATCATTTGATTAAAACTATGCATTAAAACAACAGTAAGTATAACAAGTTTCATTAGTTTGTTTTGAGACAGGGTTTCGCTCTGTTGCCCAGGTGGGAGTGCAGTGGCACAATCATGGATCACTGCAGCCTTAACCTCCCAGGATCAAGCAATACTCCCACCTCAGCCTCCCTGCTAGCTTGGAGCACAGGTGTGTGACACCCTGCCCAGCTAATTAAAAAAAATCTTTTGTAGAGATGCAGTCTCACTATGTTGCCCAGATCGCTCTCAGACTCCTGGCTCAAATGACACTCTCACCCTGGCCTCCTAAGCTGTTGGGATTACAGACATGTGCAACCACATCCAGCCAAAATTTAGCTTTTCTTGCTAAATTAGAATAAATTTGGGTAACAACATGATCCTTCATTTAAATATAAATTCTATTGAATACATTATACGATTTCATTCTTCATAAGTACTTCACTATTCCAAATTGGTCAAGATATTTTTAGGTATTTTTATGTTTTTAATAAGTTTTTTTTTTTTTTGAGACGGAGTTTTGCTCTTGTTACCCAGGCTGGAGTGCAATGGCACGATCTCAGCTCACCGCAACCTCCGTCTCCTGGGTTCAGGCAATTCTCCTGCCTCAGCCTCCTGAGTAGCTGGGATTACAGGCGTGCACCACCATGCCCAGCTAATTTTTTGTATTCTTAGTAGAGACGGGGTTTCACTATGTTGACCAGGATGGTCTCGATCTCTTGACCTTGTGATCCACCCGCCTTGGCCTCCCAAAGTGCTGGGATTACAGGCTTGAGCCACCACACCCGGCCAAGATTTTTAAAAATAACATCTAAACATTATTTTGCTGCATGATGTGAGAATTATATTGAATTCCAAAATTTTATTTTCTAAATATTTAATGTTCTCAATATTACTTCAAAATAATTCATCAGGTTGGGTGATGGCATCAGTAGGTAGTAAGACAAAAAGCTTCAGACCCTTATTTCCCCATGGAAACACCAAGTAACCACCAAAAGATTAAAATAATTTTACAGGAGCTCTAAGTAACAGTTAAAAATCTCTATCAACCAAGCAAATGCCCAGTGAAGAACAAATATATTCAACACAGTTCTGTATTTCATGTTTCACTCTCGGTCGTTTCATGCCATGCCTGGCGTGGCACAGTGCAGCTGAGAGGCAGCGGCCCGATTTCCAGTTTCCTTTCTAGAAATGGAGCAGCAGAGAGAACGTGGTTGGCAGCACTACGGTCACTCTGGGGGCTGCCTGACAGACTGAGTTCTGTCTTTTCCTGACTTGGAGCTCAGTGGAGAAAGGGCGGCATCATTTAGATCTCTGGCTAGAAGTCATGAGAGGCTGTGACAAACACTGCTATACAGAAAGCTGCAGCACGTTTGCAAAATCATGAGTACCTTGGGGTAAGGGATTCCAGGTAGAGGAATACAATAATATATATATATATTATTGACCTTATAAGGAGGGGAATTTAGGAGATATATATAGCCCCAATTAGATGATGAGATCCTTTAGAATATTAAGACGTTTAAAAGAAGCTGGGTGAAAATATAAAAAAAAGAAGACAAAAATAAAAACACAACAAAAGATATGGACAAATCCAGACAGGACACGTACCCACCAAAAACCTGAGAACACCTAACGTCTTCACTCCAGTTTGATCTCAAGTCTCAGAGGCCCGCAAAGAGGTGAACATCTTCTACTACATTCTCCAAAGATTGAGACAGGTAGTTGATTCTTTTCAAATGCTTATTTTTTAACGAAAATCACAAGGCATACAGAGAAACAGGGAAACATAGCCCATTCAAAGGGTCATAATAAATCTCTAGATACGGTCACTGAAGAAACATATAAAGACTTAACAGACAATGAATTTAAAACAATGATTATAAATATGAATTAAAATAAATGAATACAAATTTTCCAAATTTGAGAAAGTCATATATACACAAATTTAAGGAGCTTAATGAACTCCAAGTAGGATAAACATAAAGAAAGAGACCCAGCCAGAAACATAATTACAGAACAGTTAAGAGCCAAAGAAAAAGAGAGAATCTTAAAAGCAGAAAGAAAAAAGCAAGTCCTATAAACAAGGGATTCATAATAAGACTATCAACAGATTTCTCCACAGACACTTCACAGGTTAGAAAGCAATGGATAGGCTGCTTGCACTGGCTCACACCTATAATCCCAGCACATTGCGAAGCTGAGGTGGGTGGATCACTTGAGGTCAGGAATTCGAGACCAGCCTGGTTAACATGGTGAAATCCCATCTCTACTAAAAACACAAAAATTAGCCAGGCATGGTGACGGGCACCTGTAATCCTCTCTACTTGGGAGGTTGAGAGAGGAGAATAGCTTGAACCTGGGAGGCAGAGGTTACACTGAACAAAGATTGTGCCACTGCACTCTAGCCTGGCTGACAGTGCAAGACTTCACCTGAAAAGAAGGGAAAGGAAAGGGAAAAAGAAAAGGAGATAGGAGAAGGGAAAGGAGAGGAGGAAAAACATATTTAAGTGCTGAAAAAATGTCAACCGAGAATTCTACATCCAGAAAAACTGTCCTTCAAAAATGAAAGGGAAATTAAGACATTCCCAGACAAACCAAATATGAGCGAGTTTATTACCAGTATATATTCCCTGTAAGAAACACTAAAGAAAGTCCTTCAAGATGAAATGAAAGGACACTACACAGTCACTCATGAAAAGCAAAAGGGTCTCTAGTATAGGTAAATACACGAAAATATATTTTAAAACATTATTATAGTAATTTTGACTTAAAACCTCAGTTTTTATTTTCTACAGTATTTAAAGATAAACACATAAAATAATGATAAATATATGCTAATAGTTACATTATATATAAAGAGATAATTTATGACAGCAGTAGCATAAAGTAAGGGAACAGTCTTGTAAGGATTGAAGTCTTTGTATATGATTGAAGTTAAATTGGTGTCAATTTAAGATAATGCCACCATTGTAGGATGTTATATGTAATCTCCATGGAAACCACAAAGAAAATACTTATAGAACATGTGAAAAAGAAACGAGAAGAGAATCACAATGTGACACTATAAAAATATCAACTAAACATAGAAGATAATAGTAGTGGGTCAAACAAGGGACAAAAATGCGGAAAGACATATGAAAATTGAATT